TAATCATTACAATCCTGACCTATCTTTGGAAGCTACAAGTTATATTGCTGGCTCAGAGGCCTGAGAACACACTCCATCACTCTGTGCACAGCCCCAGAGGAGGAAGGGCTGCAGCAGCTCTGAGAAGCTTCACTTTGAAACTGCAGGCCCGTACGGTCTAGTCCCAGGCTGCTGGCTTGGAGCCTGCAGGAAGACAGCTCTGGGTGTACAACCTGGTTTCCTCAGATCCTGACTCTGCCATTTGTTGGCTATGCCCTTAGACAAGTTAGCTAAGTTCTCAGAACCTCAGTTTCCTCTTTTGTGAAGGTGGTTGGTGATGCCCCCTTATGTGGTAGGTAGGCTCCTGTAGTAGCACTTGTATTCCAGATTATTATCTGGAGTGAGAAATCACAGACCCATGAAGGGCTGGCTTGTGTCCAGGAGCAGAAAGGGACCACATGGACAGAAACATTTCCTAGGAATGTGGTTTGATCCCCAGCTTGGCTAGAAGCCTCCTGTGTAGCTCCAGGCTCCACTGAGATGTCAGGAATACACTCCTCACATGGGTACCTAGGTCACTGGAAGGCAGGGTAAGCATGGGATACAGAAAAATCTGACTTATAGTTAAAATCTGGGTTAGTTACATGACCTTGGGAAAGTCATTTCCACACTTCTTCAGTCTTTAATATTTTTTCAGCAAAATGGTTTTATGTGTGGCGAGATAAAAATATGCAATTAAAGAACAATCTTAGGTTGGGGCCTGGCATAGGATTAGCTAGAAATAAAGCATTTATTAAGCACCCCTTATATACAAATAGGTTATGCGTCATCTACTATAAATGTATTATCCCATGAATTTAGGTAGATTGTGTATTAGTGAAGCAGCAAGGCTGTCTGATGTGGGTGTGAGTCCCTCAGCCCAGACCAGGTGACTAGAGACCCTGGTATGAATGTGGAATCTCCTGCTCAAGTTGAGAATGGTGACTCTTCCAGCAGGACACTAGGAAATGGGCCTGGGTAAATGAAATGGCATTTCAAAGCCTGAAGAGAGCCTCAGACCCTTTTTCACCATCACAAGGATGGGCTTGAGGCTCACATGTGCTCCTGCAGACACTCACAGCAAAGTGCATGCCACAAGTAAAGCTGTGTCTCTCTCCTGCACCAAAGCCTCCCTCCCCCTAGCAGTCCAGGGCTCAGATTCTGAAAAACAAACATTTCAATTATAAAATGGTATATTCTTTCTACTGACAATTGGAGGAGAGAAGAAAAATAAGAAAACAGCACATAATGAAGACTACGGATAATTTTTTAAGTCTTTTTCTACATTGAAAGGGTTTTAAAAATAATTGGAAATTGGCTACATATATAATTTGAGACTCGAAGTTTTCCACTTAATATTGGATCATGACTTTTCTCCATGTCTTCAGATACTGTTTTCATGGCTGCATAGTGTCCATCACTGGCTAGTCTTAGATGGTCTGAACTACTTAAATATGAGTAGATGGTTTTATTTATGTATTTAGATTTATTTTGTATGTTTTTTTTTATTTTTTTATTTTTTGAGACAGGGTCTCCCTGTAGCCCCAGTTGGCCTGGAACTTGCTGTGTAGATCAGGCTGGCCTCTATCTCACAGAGATTCGCCTGCCTCTGCCTCCTGAGTGCTAGGATTAAAGGTGTGCACCATCAGTCCCAGCAATAGATGGTTTTAAAAATTGCCCCCATGGTGGCTAGAGAGATGGCTCAGTGGCTAAGAGCACATACTGCCCTCTTCTTGCCTTCAAGGGCACTGCACTTCACATGCACAACCCTCCATATTCACATAATTAAAAATAAAAATAAGATATATAAAGATGCTCCCCCAAGATGTACTTTCTATGCATTTTGCATGCTGAGGATTATTTCTTTGTTGCTGAAAAGTTTTCAGACGTAGGGGAGTAGGGTTGAACAGTTGGCCACAAGAGGCCCTCCCAGACTATGAGTCCAATTTTGAGCCCCAGATGGAGTGAGTTGGAGCACAGTGGGTGTGGCAGGCACCCCACCATGTAGTATTTGGTGACTAATTAGTCAGCTTCATGCCACTGTGTCACCTGAAGAGTCATATCAATTTCAAGCTTCACTGGAGTTCAGGCAGAAAAGATGATAATTCAATATTTTACCAAATAGAAAATATTTCAGATCCAGCCAGACTTCTCTGACATGTTTTCCAGGTATTAAAAATGAGTGAAGTTTTTTTAACTGACATGTGACGAGAACTCAAGGACATCTGTAAAGTCTCAAGAGTCCCCCATCAGTCCATTATCCAACTCTGTGTCCCTGCAGGCTGCAGCTGGCCCAGCAGGCCACACCAGCCAAAACCACTAAGCAGGTGGGAGCTGCCTTTTAATGGAAAAGCTTCGAGTTTTAGGACAAATGGAAAAGGCTAAAAGGAGAGAAGACAGCATCTGGCCCCTGTCCCTTTACCTCGTCCTCTAAAACTGATGGAAATAGACTTGGATTCTGATTTCGGCTAATTTCTGCCAAAAGAATTAGAGTGGAAATGTGCCACTGACCCCAAGTCTTCCCGGGGTAGGTGTGATGCTCTCCACATGCTTTCAGATCCCTTTGAGAAGGACCTTATGGCCATTTCTGGCTAGAGCTGTCCCCAGCACATTTGTAGGGAGGTCCCTGAGCTCACAGCCTGAGTATCCCTGAGCTTTACAGCCCAAGCAACCCCATACTTATCATCCCTCTTTTCAGTACCAACTGGGATTGAGTTGGTGCCTCTAATATCAAGTAGTGCTATCAAAGGGGAACCTTCTGGAGGGCCAGAACTGTGCTTCAGTTTTCTTTGTGCTCACATTGCACCAGCAAAACACCAGTTAGAGTTTGTGCATAAGTCAGACTGAAAGCTTTTGGTGGGTTGGAGCCTTCTCTGAATACCTGACAGCATCCAACACACTGGGGCATCTACAACAAGTAAGAAGTGAATGAAATGGTTGTGAAGAGTGAATGAATGCGCTCTGGGGAGGCCAAGGCAGGGAGATGGTGAGTTTATAGTGTGAGAACTTGTCTTAGAAAACAACAAAACAGGGTCCTGGCAAAGAAATGATTGGTGAGACTGAGAGATGCCTTAGAGAGCTGCTCTCGTTCTATCTTGGTCCACGGGGGGTGGGTGAAAACATGGAGGGGGGAACTGCAAGTTCTGGATTCAAGTCCCAAGACTTCCTCAGTGGTTGCCATATTGGACGGCAGCACCTCAGGCCCCAGACACTCTCACATCTGCCAGTGATGGTTCCCTCTCCAGAGCACCCCTGCTCTTCTATTACTTGACAATTAATCATATCCCATCTTTGAACCATCTTCACTGTAGTCTTAAAATTTTTAACTGGGGGGCTGGAGAGATGACTCAGCAGTTAAGAGCACTGGTTGTTCTTACAGAGGACCTGGGTTCGGTTCCCAGCATCCACATGGCAGCTAACAACCATCCCTAACTCCAGTTCCAGGGAATCTGATGCACTCTTCTGAACTCCTTGGCCATTGTATGACACAGGTGTACTTACATACATGCAGGCAATACATTCATACACATAAAATTAAAAAATTAAAAAAATTTAAAACCTGAGACATATTTGTGCATCTTTGAGTATAGCATGAAAATTTGAAACATATACATAGTAATGATCAAACCAGGAGAATAAGCATTTCTGCCTCCTCAAACATTTCTATGTGCTTTTGTAGTTTTCTAGTTATTTTGAAATGTACTGTAGATTGTTATGACCATAGTTACCCTATATAGAAAACTAGAATTAGTCTCTACTATCTGACTGTGATTTGGTCACTTGTCTTGATCTGTCAATCTGTCATTTAGGTTTGTTTAAAGGACTTTTCACATATTTCTCCTGTTTCCTGGTAGAGAGTAGGTCCTCTGTGAACATTGCTCTGGTCTGGAGACCAGAGGCTCTGGCTTCGAACTCTGGCACAAGCCACTCATCCCTCTTGGTGTGTAATGGCTATAAAGTTGAGATGTGCCAAAATCAGACATCCCTCAACTCTGAGGCTGTTTGGTAGGAGGCCTGTAGCTTTCAGGACCAAGTTTAGGATCTCAAGTACAGTGCTTGGAAACATTGCCTGATCCATCAGCTCCCTTTGCTTAGGGCCATTTTCCCATATTCCTCCAGGACTGGGAGTAACTGCCCTTCCAACTTCCAGGACTCAGGAGAGCATCAAGTCTCAACCAGATGCTCTGATTTGAAAAGGATGAGGAGCAAAAAGTAGTGGCAGCCAGTGCTCACTGAGCTGGCTCTGTTTGGGCATCTTGATGGTCATGTAGCTCTGAGTAGCTAGGGTAGGGTTAGACCCAGAAGATGGCCTGACAAGCTTGTTTGAGACTGCAGGCATTCAAAACTACCTGGGCTGAAGCTGCAGTGAGGGTCCTCTGCCCTGACAGCAGGACTGCCAGAACCTTTCCCTGCCCAGGACCCCTCTCTGCTCCTGTGTTGGACCTTAGCCCTCCACTAGATCCTCTGCTGCCCTTGACTCCCTCTCTTGTTCTTGGCTTGAGCCAGGATACAGCAGCTACCAGAACATTCTGATTCATTCTTTGACAGACCTCTGCACAGTTAGGGATATAAAGGACCTGAGTCCTCTGCTTCAGGTTTGTTAAGAGAAAGCAGAGACAGGAACTGGCATGCCATGGATATCCAAACCATATAATAGCGCAAGAAAGAAATATGTTTCTATGACTTCTGAGTATGGAGGCAAAGATCCAGGTAACACAGCACCAGAATCCAGCCAGGAGCCCCAGACACAATACATCATGCCCAAGTGGCATCATCCCGAGAAGGCAAGCATGATTTCTCCTCACAAGCAAGGCTCAGGGGGGCAGTTCGGGCACAGCCCAGGCTCAGGCTAACGTTATGTTCCACTCTGCTCCCAGGAGGGGTTGGGGACAGTCCTTCCTCTGCCCCATTCCCTGTTACATCACTTCACTGAGGTCCTCCTTGCCTGGTCCTCCTTAACTCTCTTTCCCTCTCTCCTGCAGGATTCCATGTTTTCGTTGGCCCTGAAATGCCTTATCAGTTTATCCACCATCATCCTGCTTGGTTTGATCATCGCCTATCACACACGGGAGGTCCAGGTAGGTCCCCACACTTCATGTAGTGGCCCGTGCTCTGGGCTCAGCTCACCAACCCCCAACCTAGATACTTGGGTAGTTTTGCAGGGTGACGTCCCAAAAGGTCTTGGCTGTTCTCTTCCTGTTTGGATCTCCACGAAGGAGGACATCTTGAGGCTCTCCTGTGATAACTGAGATATTATCTATGGCTTCATGATTGGGGTTTTGCGCCCCCTTTGCACACATGAACACATGCATATGCACACACGAACACATTGCATACACACACAGAGACTCAAACACCAGCAGGGATCACACATTTCTGAAAGTGTTGACTTCACTCCTGTGGAGGCCAGGCTAGAGGTGCCATTTTCTAGATAGGGTAGATGTGTGATGTGGTTCTGGCTTCTGTTACTTGCTGCCCAGGGGTGACTTGACACTCGGGGAGATACTTCCTGGGCCTCTGGGTGTACTTCCAGCTTGGCTGATACAGGGAGGATGGCTCAACCCCGGCTGTGAGACTGATGCAGGAGTGAGCAGACTTGGTCATCCCCATGACCATGAGTCCTCTTCCCCCTGCCCTGCAGGCTGATCTGCTCACTGGGGACCCAGGTCATCCAAAACATCCAGATGTTTCTTGTCATGTGTATGTGAATCTGGATAATCTCCCAGTCCTCTGGCCAGAGAAACACAGATTCACATCTGGGCAGCAGGAAGAGATTGATGAAGACCAGAGCTCAGAGTCGAAAAGACAAGGGTTGGAGTTTCATCCATTTCCTCTTTTGGTATGTCTTTGGCTGGCCCTGTGATTTTGCCGTGTCTCAGCCACCTCACCTAGAACAAAGGGTTTTATTCCAACTTTGCCGGGCTGTGGTGAGAGTGGAACAAGGAGGGGGTGTGGGGGGTCTATAAAATGCTAGTCAACAATGCTGCGGAAGCCTGGCCCCTTTTGTTCCTCAGTGTCCTTGGAGCAGAGCACTGACACAGATATAGTGGGGGAACTCTTGGTCCTAAAGCGGGGTTCAGCTTCTGGATGTGTACTGTAGCTGGACGGAATGTAGAGGTTTTGACTCTAGATTCCCACTGTGTCAGTGATAGGAAGACATCTTGAGGTTGTACTCTAGATGGTACTTAAACTGGGCTGTGCTCTGAGGGTTGGGTACAGAGGCCGCTCAGCAGCTTCCTTCATGGAGTTCAGACTGGATAAGGCTGCCAGACCATTCTCCAGCAAATTCCAGAAAACAGCCAGGTACACAAGTGAAGAGGACGAGGCTGAGGGGCCATGTCAGGACAGAGGGGTCTCCAGGGGACTATGGAAATACCTTCCACAGGGCAGGGTAGCACTGTTGATGTGAGCAGGGTGGACAGGCTGTGACCATCCCATCTCCCAATCTCAGAGAGGCAAATTCTAGCTATGGGCACTGTCGTAGTTTGCTTTCATTGCTGTGACAAAACAACTTGGGGTGGGGGGAAGGGTTTATTTTATCTTATATCTCTCAGACCACAGTTCATCACTGAAGTAAGTCAGTGTAGGAACTCAGGGCAGGAACCGATAGGCAGGTACTGAAGACCATGGTGGAATGCTGCTTATTGGCTTGCTCCTCTGGCTTGTGTTCCGTCTGCTTTCTTATACAACCAAGGACCGTCTGCCCAAGGGCGGCACTGCCCACAGTAGTCTAGTCCCTCCCACATCACTCAGTAATCAGGAAAATGCCCCACAGACGCAGCCACAGCCCAGTCTGATGGAGGAAATTCCTCAGTTGGGGTTCCCAGTTGACAACTGAAGGTATCCAGCACAACTGATCCCTTGTCAATTTGACACACAAACACATAACTATTAAACCATAACCTTTCCATTTCTTGTCCCCAAGATAATGATATTAATATTAACAGCACAATATAAAACAATACAACTTCTAAAGTTCCACAGTCTTTAAAAAATTCCAACGCCTTGGAGGGGAGGGAGTGAGATGGATTTGATCAAAACACCTTATATGCATGTATGAAATTCTCAATAAAGTTTTTGAAAAAAATTAAAAAATAAATAAATAAAATATTTTTTTAAATGCCAACACTTTAAAAGTTCAAAGTCTCTTTAAAAAGTCTTTCAACTGTGGGCTCCTATAAAATCCAAAGCAAATTACATATTGTCTTATTTCAAAAGGTAAGGACTGGGCACACTTAAGCAAAACCAAGTCTGGCAATGTAGCTCAGTGTTGGACATCTGGGATTGACTCACGATCTTCTGGGCCCCAGAGGGCTTGGGCAGCTCCACTTCTCTGGCTCTTCCATCCACAGCACACACAGCTTGTCTCATATGTGCAAGCTGACTCCAATCTATACCTGCTGCTGCCCTTGGCGGTTGTCCCATGGTCCTGGCATCTCCAATATGCTGGGGTCTCCATTGCAACAGAAGCTGCACTTTTCCACCAATGAGCACTTTTCCACCAATGACCTCTCCTGGCCTCTCACAGTGCAAAGCCTCAGATTCTTTCCATAACCTTGACACCTTCATCACCAGTACCACCTGAGGGACTCTTTCACATTGCCAATTTCTGCTGCCAGTTTGATGCACAGCCTTGCCCCCCTCTGGACCACAGCTTCTGTGTACTGACCCTGAGGAAATATTTCCCAGAAGATTTTACTCAGCGTTGCTAATCTCTCATTACTCATAGCTGATTTTTCAACCCTAACTGACCAGCATAAATGATCTCAGTAAAGCACACAAGGTTTTACTTCCAAAAATTCTTATTTCAAAATATATCACACAAGCATCCCTGATCGTCTTTGTTTCCCTTTGAAGCTTCACAAGCCAGGCCTGCATCATCTACACCTCTTTCAGCATTACTTTCCAGGTTTCTACAGAACAGCTTGCTGCGCTTCAAGCACTTTTCCAGTCCAAAGCTCCAAAAACTTCCACATTCCTCTTAAACACATATAGTCAGGTCCATCACAGCAATATCCTGTTTTCTGGTACCAGTTGCTGTCCTAGTTTGCTGTCTATTACTGTGATGAAACAACTTAGGGAGGAAAGGGTTTATTTTATCTTCTATCTCCCAGGTCACAGTTCATCACTGAGGGAAGCAGGGCAGGAAGTCAGGGTAGGAGCCTGGAGATGGGAGCTGAAGCACAAACCATGAAGAAATGCTGCTTACTAACTTGCTTCTCTGGTCTTATATAGCCAGGGACTACCTGCCTAGGGGTGGTAGCACCCACAGTGGACTGGTCCCTCCCATATCACTCCATAATTAAGAAAATGCCCCATAGTCATGACCACAGGCCAATCCAATGGAGGAAACGCCTCAATTGAGGTCCCTCTACCCAGGTGTGTCAAGTTGACTACTAAAGCTATTCAGCACAGCCACCTACTGAGCATAGTACCTGCTGGGCTTTGTGTATGCCACAATAATGGAGCTGACTGCCTTGTGGGGAGGCATTCCTACCTCAGGAGTCTAGAATGTCCCCTTTTCTGCTGAGAAGTGAGGAGCCAGCTTTCCTAGAACTTGCCCTTAGCCCCAGCCCTCTCCCTGGAGCAGGAAATAAAGCACTGTGATACCCTGGTGGTCGCTTCTGTTGTTGAAGATGACCCCCCCATACCTTTCTTCAGCCTCCCCTCTTGTGACACTTTGGAGTACAGCTTTGGAAGACTCAGATACCTTCTATTCTCAGGCCATTGTGTCCTGGAAAGAAACAAATCACCATTGCTTTTCCAAGGGTTTCCAACCTTAACTGTGTGGTGCTGTCCTGGAAGGCAGGCTAGCTAGCAGGTGGTTGACAACATGGATGCCCAGCTGGGGTTCAAATCAGGGCCTTTGTCATCTTTTGGGGTTTGGGTGTATGGTGACCTATAGTGAGTTCCTTAATCTCTTTTAGTCTATTTTCTTCCTGTAAAGTCAGACTAGTGATAGTACCTACCACAAAAGCTTGCTGTGCAGGTCAAATTAAGATACTATGAAAGTGTTTCAGCTTACATAAGGTCCTGTCTTGGTCCACTGGGTGGAAAGGGTGTCCCAAACAGAGGTCATGCAATTAACAAAGGCCCTGGGATGAAAACTACCTGGAGCTTGCAGAATGCCCCAAAGCCAAGTTCTTGGGCAGTGGGGCAGCTTCTCTATGGAGGGTAGGCAGGCCAGTGGTACTCATCTTGCTAAAGTCCCCGCCCCCCATGTCCTGAAGGCTGCAGCAGAAATCACAAAATGGTGTCAAGCTGGGAAGAGACTTGCGCTTTAGATGGGCTCTCTGCCAGCTGCCTGCAGGTGTTGGAAAGTTAATTTCAGAGGCAGGAAGATAGCTAGAAGCCTGTTACAATATCTAAGAGAGGGATAGCGATGCCTGGAACCAGGGTGAGTGCAAGAATGGGGACTGGAGGAGAGAACATGCATGCGAGATGCTGAGCAAGTGGAAGTGACAAGACTTGTTCACCAATTAGGATAGACAGACTGTCTGCAGGAGAGAGAATCTCCCAGGTACTTGGTAACTCGGTGCTGGAGAGTACCATTCATTAAAATTGAAAGCACAGGAGGTCAAGGTGGGAATAGTGTTGGGTTAGACTCTGGGCATGGGAGGGGCATTCAGCTGCTCCCATGGTAATGGGAGCTAATGATGTAGAGGTCAGGACTGGATGAGCAGGGGAGTGAGATAAGAGGACAGCAGATTCCCCAGAGGAACCACGGCTGAGGAGAAGTGGATGGAGGAAGAGGAGCTCCCTGGTGACTGAAGGGTCAGTTAAAAACTGGGACACAGTGGGGAGGGGAGAAGGGAGCCATCACATCTGCCACAGGGACAGCAGGAGTTGAAGAATGTGCTTGTCCTCTGCTTTAGGTCATTGTTAGAATAGTCACCAGGAATGATAGTATAGGCGGCAGGCAGAGGAAGACAGTGGAAACAAGGAACATGACTGGTCTGCTTTTGTGGATTAGAGAAACACACGTGGATACATTATTAGCAAGGAGCCAGTTGAAAGGGAGAGGAAATAACCAGGGGCCACCGCCTGGTTTAGGAGCCTGCAGGAGGAAAGGGATAGA